CTAGTAAATTAACATCTTCTCTCAGTAAACTCCCACCACCAGCACAGATAAGTCTTCCAGGCTTCTGCATGAAGTGTAAATGTGCAATGGTTTATCCATGACCTGCTTTATTACAGTTAAATTACAGAGGGCCTTGGTTTGTCACAGTCCATTTAGGAAGACAGCATACTCATAAAAAGGCTGCTCATACATTAAGAGATGGCGCGAATCTCAGTGAGTCCGTGTACCAGGACATCACCCCAGAGAAACTGAAAGAAACATGTTAGGTCTAAGTTGCTGTTAGTGAATTACCTTCTTTTTTACGGAGGAACCATGAATAAGGTGTAAGCATGTCTTGTGTAGAAAAGCCAGGGAAAACCCAAATAAGCCAGCTCATTGTCTTTAGCCAGTTCAATTTTAAATAAGCCTGATTTATACAATTTGGCTTGGAAAAAGCCAATGTGGCAACCCTGCTTTGTAGGCGGAGCCTTTTTTAGAGTTTTAATGCTAAAAAGAGAGAGCCTTCAGGAGTGGTTCTCTTAGTTAACACTCAAAAGATTATTAAAAATAAAGCATTTAATTAACATATACAAAACTATACTTATATATATTGGTGTAGGAAATTGAATGAGGCAACAGAATATTTATGAATCAAACTGAAATCTCAACATTTATTCAAATTAACTATTCTGATTTTTATAACTTATGCAAGAATTTTTTTTTTTTTTTTTTTGTCACTTGGAAATAAACATGATTAACTGAAAAAATGTGGGTGCATTTTTTTTATGGATGAAACCTACTAAGTCCTAACACTGGAAAGTAAGGCACAAGGAGGCACTTCTGGCACATGACTCTACTCATTTTCCTACCTCCTGCTGTTTTCATTGCTTTGACGCAACAGTCCTTTTTGCCATTGTTGGGCACAGGTAACCCCACAAGAAAGTTGATGTAAAATTACAGAATGCATCAGACTTTCTCGAAAGATGTAATTAAACAGCCCACATATGCAAGAAATGCGAGAAACAATCTGATTGGCTGGTGCAAAAACCTGCCAGTTGTCGTTTCTTTTTCTATGGGAAAGAAGATTGTTTTAGAAGAAGAAAAGGTGACAGTAGTCGCCATAAACTGTCTATAAGAAATCAAATGTTCCAATCACACACAGAAAGGTGCTGGTACTATACACCACCAGAAAAAAAGCCCTTGTGTTAGGCATACTTAGTGTGCTGTTGATCCATTTTTTATTTCCTAACCTATAAGTATCCTATGTGTATGAATGGTGAATTGTAGTGATCCTGACACTGGTATGTATCTGTAGAAATGTACCATTCATTGTACTTGCTTTTATGGCAAAAATAAGGCAGAACTTAAACCAAATTTATTAGGTGAGCAGGAACAAGAGATGGATAAACAGAAGTCTGAGAAAACTACAGCCAACATGAGAGACAGTGTTTGTTGGAGATTTATCGCAGTCAACCTTTGTTGTGGAAATAACATCTGAGTGAACTTCAGTCTGGCTACAGCATATATAAGTCATTGTGAAAAACAGTTTGAATTATTTGGAGAAAACATTATATCATCATCATCATCCAGTGCTGTGCTGATAAGGATAGGGTGTCATGTTTCTATTTCATATGATCTCCAGAATCACAGATCAGCAGAGAAACAAGATTATTATGGCCCGGAGAGAATGAGGCACCTGGGTGTAACCAGAGGGTTTGGCAGGCTCACTACACTCAGAGGAAAGGCAATACGGACATATAACCAGATTGGTACCATTAGTACTGGAACTCTGCACTGGCTGCTGAAGATGAGGATGGAGCATGCATTGGAATGCCCCGAGTGCTGAGATGTCAATTCTTGACTCAGCTCAACTCAATCTGGAATCACGGATCCGTTTGATGTCCTTCTCTCACCATATCCATATCATCAAACTATCTAGATATTTATCTCTTTGCCTTTCCCTTGGTATTTTCCGTCAGTCTTGCCAGATGTCACAGGTCTTATTTATGAAGGTCTTATTTATCCACATTTATTTTGTACTATGGCACCTCACTAGTTTAAATCCTCTTGTTTGCATAACTTGTAAGCTTATTTTTAATTTTTCCCCAGCTCGATATGAAGCTATCGATCTGAACAAGAAAAAGCTTATAGAGGAAATCTTAGTCGAGGAGAGAGATGATGCAATAATCCGAGTGGCAAAACTGAGGAAACGTCAGCCTCCCAAATTACGCAGCAAAGCCAGAAATATTGCCAGTAATATAATAAATTATTACGTAAGTTCATTTTTTTCTGCAGAATTTTCATTAGAAATTAACAGTTCGAAGCACAGAAATGGTTACAACATATACAAGAGAATTCTATTTTTTTAATCATCTGATAGGAATATCTATCAGCCACACAAACATAAGTTCAGATTTTCAACAACTCCAGTAACCCTAAAATATTCTCTAATGGGTTAGTAAAGTAAGGTTCCTTTTCCACAATTTAGGCATATAGGACTTGACCTATATTTTTATAGATCAATTGGCACAAGATGGGTGATATGGTCAGCATCACGCCGGCCGACTTTATTCCCGAAAACTGCACCCGGTACCCCCCTTAAGACTGGGTCGACCTGGAAGTCAAGGTCATTTTTTAAGAAAAAAATCAGGATCCTCTCATAGGTTGGTTTTTCTATTTTCAGAGTTGCAAGACATGAAAATATAATTATCAAACAGGGATGTTTCCGTGGGGAAGTGGTTTGCTTTATGCTCCGAAGGTTATGAGTTTGATTTTGGACTCTGTCCTCCTGTTCACAAGTGCAAATAATTTGGACATCCCTGGGAGTGTTCCTGAAACTACAGAATTTGTACATTGTGCAAGTTTCTTGTGAAGATGAGACATTAATCAGAGAGTGAGAGAGAGAGAGACTAAGCTATATAAGAGATAACCTAGGGCTATAAAGTTGACTTCTAACCTTTTAACATCTTTTAAACACTTAAATGCCCTTGACAAAATTCCAGATTTCATGCTAAATGAAACAAATTCTAGTAAATCAAGAGGTGAAGAAAAGACTCTGGTGTTGGATAGGACGCACGCTGAGAACAGAATACAGCCGAGTCCACTTAAGTCGAACTCGGATAAGTCGAATTTCGGTTAAGTCGACATGACCAGCTTAGTCCCGGCAATTTTCTCTATTGTGTGTGCTCTCTGGATAAGTAGAAATCCTGATAATTGGAAGCATTTTCTTAGTCCCCTGGGACTTCTACTTATCCAGACTCAACTGTAACTAGAACATCTTGACACTAAAACCCACAGGGGCATAAAAATAAAGGCAATCCTACCTACAAAAACAGACACATGGAGAAGGGAACTAGAAGGGGGGCGGATAACAAGACAGGGAAGACATAGGGTGAACTTCATGCAATAGCAAAAGATAGGATGACTTGGCATGAACTGAGGGCCAGTGCTGCACTGAGGGACTGAGGGCAAAATAAGAAGAAACGCACAATTGATTGTGTTATTCTGTTTAATGTACTGCTAATGATTAATATAAAATAGGTGAGTTGATTAAATATGTTTTAAACTTTGTGCGATGGGCATGTGCAATAGATTTAGAAATACTAAAAATCAATGTGTTAGTTCCCAGTAGGATATTTTTAGAAAACAGTTCAAATTGAGATTAATGTAGACAAATCTTTCATTAGGTGATACCTGTCATTTGGTCAAATATTTATATGCCTCTGTATGTGCTACCCATGTTTTAGGCAAATCTTTATCTTACAGCGGTTTTAGGCAAATGATTAAATAATACTCATGTTTTCGGCTGTTCAATATTATTTGATACCCATGTTTTTGACAAAATATGTTTTATGTGATGCAAACATTGTTAATATCTTTTCTTCTCAAATTATAAATGAAGAAGACTACATACAGTGTACAGGCTTGCATTTAATATGACTATTTTGTGACTTGTTATTGAGTGTCATACTAGTCTTCAAACTTTCATCAACCCTATATCTTGGAAATAGCTCTACTTCTTCTTCTGGTTGTTCGTCCATTTCTGGACTCTAGTCTTTTTCCAGAAATTTGAGTTTTGTGTGCACATCAATTTCACAGCCCCGACTTATTTTCATGCAGAATGCACTACGACTTCGAAGGAAACTCCCAGTTAGTTTACTCTTATGACATGCGTTTGGGCAGAGAGTGGGCTTATTCTTGTTTTCCCCACAATGGGTCCCTGGAGCCCACAAGGAGGTATAGCTATTCTGAGCCACAAAATGATTTTTCCAAAGGATTTCAGTTACCTCTACAACTAAATTCCTGTAAGAATCTGTACTTCCTAGTGCTTACCGGCTGTGAACTCTGTTGTTCGTCCACTTCTAGATTTTGGTCTTGATAAAGAGCTTCAGTTTTCCATGCAGATCTGTTTTAAAAATCTGGTTTATATTTATGCACACTTTTTCCTTGCCTTTCAGGCAGATGCATTCCAATTTTGATAGGAACATGCCTGTTGAGTTGCCTTTTTGACCTGCTTGTTGGGGATATCAATACTTTTTTCCCAATAGGGGTCCCGGAATCCAGACAGAGAGAATCTGTACTGATGCTGTTCTATTTTCTAACTGTGTTATTGAAATTTGTAATTACAAAATGTGTTTGTTTTAATGTTTAAATAAAAGCATTTTAACACTTATTTTGAGGAAACTCTGATGAACATGTCACATACGTGCTAATTTTTTAAAATTTTTTATTTAAGTGCAGAGTTACTGTAAAGATGGATCCAAACACCGATCTGCACAACCACATTAAACAGTGCAGTGAGAATGACTTCATCACCATAGAAGGTTCTCACAACATAAACGTCCTGTCGAAGGTTAAATACTTAAGTACTATTTCCTTGTAATGTTTGTCTATTTTTGAAACGTGTGTCCTCTCCACAATCTTGTCTTTTGGGAATATTGTGTGCTGAGGCTTCTAGACACTTCCATGGGGTTACTCTTACTAGGTCCTAAAACTACCAGAACAGATTTTTTTCTTTCTTTTTGTTAAATGAAGCATCCACTGTGGTTGTCATTACGTTTAAGTATATGGGAATAATTAAATTGTTAAATACATTCACTAACCTCTAAAACAGTGTTTCCCAAACTTGTCTTAGTTGTGTCGCTTTTTTCAATTAAAATGTTTCCATGGCGCCCTAACCTAAGTAAAAATGACTATCTATGTAAGAGATTTAAAAATCAATAAAACTCATGTTTCTTTGAATATTTCGTGTTGCCCCTGTAAAGAGGTCACGGCTCCCTGGGGCGCCACAGCGGACAGTTTTGGAATCACTGCTTTAAGTAATCACCTAATGGAAAGTAAATGCAAAGTTAACTTCTTTTACTCCAAGGAAGTAACCATAAGTTGAACAGTGTGTACAGCCATTTATTCCTCTGCAGAGTCAGCATAATGTGGATAACAGGCACTGCCAAGCACTTAAATTATTCTACTCAAGGCATCATACATCCAACAATAAGCACAGACAAGCACTTAACTTCTTTTATTTTTGTAACTTTAACCCATCTTATCATAGATTTTCTTCTTCAGTAATTAAAAAGGCCAATTTGCACAGTGTTGTGGTTTAGAGCTAGGCTACGATATCTGCACCTTTCAGCCCAACACGTCAGACTTAAGCAAACCCCTAATATGCTGCCATTTACGACATACTTACTGAGGGTGGTATCTGTTCTCTTTCACTCGAAACTGGACCTGGGAATCTGCTCTCTTTTCTGCCCAAAACTGGACCTGGGAATCCACTTGCTTTTCCACCCAAAACTGGACCTGGGAATCCTCTCGCTTTTCTGCCCAAAACTGGACCTGGGAATCTACTTGCTTTTCCACCAAAAACGACCTGGGAATCCACTTGCTTTTCCACCCAAAACTGGACCTGATAATCCACTTGCTTTTCCACCCAAAACTGGACCTGGGAATCCACTTGCTTTACGGCCCAAAACTGGACAATAGCTTTTAATTTGACCTAATGCTTAGCTTCTACGTTTTCATCCAGGGAAGTCCAAAACCAGACTTTTCTGCATTCCCACATGCTTGGTTAATCTGAATTTCTTTAGCCTATTGAGATTAACTCTGTCCCTATAGTTGTTAGTTTAAGCTGTGCGATAGACATGGCTAATGAAGACTGCCCTTTTTTTTTTTTTAGGAGTGCCTAGTTAGTCATGTGTCTTAGTATACTTGTTCTTGCAGCGAGGCGCTGTCGTAATTTGGAGGTGACACATGTGTTTCCCCGCATTGTAACTATAGCTATGAGTGCTGTTTATTTAAAATAATTGAAATTAATATTGTTTTATTCCATCAATGGGTTTATTATTGGGGGGAAGGAAATCCGGGTCATTGGCATTTGTTTTTTCTAGGTCACCGGGCTAAAGGGTTATTCACCACACTGGCTGCACCTTGTTACCAATACTGACATTTTTTACACATTGGTCCGAACATTTGTGCTCCAATGCAGCAGCCACCTGTGTCTCCTTACTCATCAAACCCATTAGGAGCTGGCTGGCATATCTTCTTTGCCCCGTGACCGGTTTCTGCATGCTTGTCTTCATTTAATTTGCCCTGTGACCGGTTTTTACATGCTTGTCTTCATTTAATTTGCCCTGTGACTGGTTTCTGCATGCTTCATCTTCATTTAATTTTTCTGTGACCCGTTTTTGCATGCTTGTCTTCATTTAATTTGCCCCGTGACCGGTTTCTGCATGCTTGTCTTCATTTAATTTGCCCTGTGACCAATTTCTGCATGGTTGTCTTCATTTGATACCTATGTCTCCTGTGGGCACGCAGCACATTCATCTCCCCCCTCTCCCCAGCAGTGTGAAATCAGAAATATGTTGATGCCCTGGACAAATTTCAGAGCTAGAAATTTGTCCAGGAGGAGACATCATGTATATATAGATATGTCATTTTAGTGTATGCACACATGGGATGGGAGCTGTGATGGTGTGTGCAGCTAGACGCTTATCTGCGTATCCGTGGGTCAGGGTTCAAGTTTGGACAGGGCCAGATTTTTTGTGTGTGTGTGACCTTGTCTCCGAGTTGAACCAGCCTCAAATTGGTACCAGGTAAAAGTCTTGGGAAATAAAGGTGGCCGGCATGGTGTTGACCACATCACCCACTGAATGCAGATTGCTTTATAAAATAAAGGTCTAACCCTATATGCCTTATACACCTAAAAGGTGGAAAAGGATCCTTTACTTTGCCTTTACACAGTTGGATCCTCACCTGTGCTTTAAAGTTTGCACTGTGGTGAGATTTTTCTAGAAAAACCAGAGCAGATTGGGAGGTATCCTGCAATTAAAAAAAAAAAAAAAAGATTGAAAAAAAAAAAAATAGTTATGCTTTTTATATGGGAGAGCTTCTAGTTTTCAGTTCAGCTTTACAACCACTGACTACCTGTGCATTTGTATAAAAAATTTAATCTTCTTTCTTTACATTAGGCTATCACAGAATGTTTGGCTGACAAGGAAGAGCTACTGAAAGTAAGACACCAACACCTGGCAAGGCAGAGCGAACAATTCTCACAGAGCAGAAGAAAAGGAAAGCAGAGGTTTCGTTGCCTTGCATCTCCCCATCTCTACAACACTGACTTCATTGTGGATGAGAGAACTTGTGTAAAATAACAGTTTCACTAAGTATTCATTTTACTTTTACCAGCCTGTCAAAATTAACTCATTAGTGCTGGAACTTGTTTCTGTGCATGACATTTTAGGAATAAAAATTTTACAAACGCCAAGTCTACTTGTTCAGTTTATAAATATGTGCTGCAGCTCACAGCATTTTGAATATTCCTTTTTTATTATGTTATTATGTTCTTCTACCTACATTGTAATCAAAGTAAAGGTAGTACCCTACAAAATGCAACACATAAAAAAAATGGGACAAACCTCAAGCAAGCTGAAATGCTTAAATGCTTGGGTTCCCTGAATACATCAGATGAAAGATGTGTTAAAAAAGTTAAATGTAGAATAGCTCAAGCAAATGCAGCATTTTACAATATGGAGAGTATTTTATGTAATCATTATTTGTCAATTGAGATGAAAAAGAGAATTCTTAGAAGCTATATAAATCCTGTCTTGATGTATGGAAGGGAATCATGGACAGTTAGTAGATAGTGTAAAATTATTTGGAAGCTGCAGAGATGTGGTTGTATAGACGAATGATAAGAATGCCCTGGACAGATAAAAAGAGTAATTAATGAGGATGTTTTGAAGAAACTGACTCACAAAAGGAACTGATTGCCCACATTGGAAAAAGAAAATATACGATCTTTGGTCATGTGATGAGAAGGAGAAAATGAGTACATTGTGACAGTAGGGAAGCTGGAGGAGAGGTAGAGTGAGACTGAAAGAAAATACGCTGGACAGTTTGACATCATGGCATGGAAGATCATCTGTCTCAGAGTTGATTAAACATACACGAGACAAAAGGTTGTGGATAGACATGACTACCAACGCCAAACAACATGGACTTTAAGAAGTACTGTTAAGAAATTAACAAAAATAATTGGCACTTCTTGTGGTTAGCCACTCCAGCTTGTTTACCATCATCTATATAAAGGTTACAGTTGAGAGGATAGAGTTCTTTGTGCCGGGTTTTATTTCATATGGCTCGGCCTCTCACTAAAGAACTGTTAGCCGAGTGTCGCACAAAGCATGAACTCTGTAGCTCAGGTGAATCCCCAGGGATCTCCATAAAAATTGCACTCGTGAACCGAACGACTCAGCCGTGGAAAGAACCCATGACCTTCAGAGCACAAGGAAAACAGCTTGACCACTTCACAAGGTAGACCTCTGCATTGTCTATATGTGAAGGCCTACAAACTCTTTATCACCTCTGCAATTTTTCATGAGGTTACCTTTATTCTTGTTTCTATGTGTGGGCTTTTTTCTGACCGTCAAAAGATGGAAAGAACTGATCAGTCAACAGCAACTGGTGATATGCAGTGTTACAGGATGATGATAATCACATGGGTTGCCTGGTACTGAAAAAGTTTATGTGAACAAAAACTTTGAAACATGCTAACAGTACAACATATTCTGAAGTTTACCAATGACAAAGAAGTGACATGCAATTTTAATGGTTTTATTATATACATTTCAACATCTATTCAGTAGCTTGATCAGCACAAGTTTATGGGCACTTAACTTATATAATAAGTGAGATTTTATAAGAAAGCGCCGCTGCAACTACATCAGTGATTTACTCAGGATAAATAAGACCAGACTCTTCCATCTAGCCCTCATATGGATAGAAAAAGAAACAGGGAAAGCTCAATCACGGGCCTAATGAACATCCAAGACCTGAAACAGGTGCAGACCGCCAGACATGGAGAGCTATGACCTCTGCACCACCCTAGGCTCAAGAGGAAAAGCTAAGCAACAAATTTGCTTATTTATCTATATTTTTCACTTGTTCCCCCCTCAAAATGTGTAAAGATATATAAAGGAAACAGAAACAGGTATTATAAGGAAATCATTCCTCAGGGCACACCCAAAAAAAAAAAACATGTAGTGGGTGACTTATGTGGTGACAATCACTGAGGTTTATGGGAAAAATTGACATCGACTTGGCATTTAAAAAATAGAAAAAACAATTTGGCCCAAAACAAAACCCTCAAATGCTATTTTAGTTCATGTATTAGTCAATACTCATCACGCCCAGAGGCACATACGGCAGAGACAAACTGTTACCACTTAAATCAATTCTGAGCCTCCCCGTGTGGGTTCTGGTGACCCATTGTGGGGAAAATAAGAATGACCTACTGCCTACCCAAAAGCATGTCGTAAGAGTCAACTAATTGGGGCGCTTCCTTTGAAGTCGGGGTGCATCTGCCTGAGAGGCAAGGAACCAACAGTCTGCACTGAAGTGAATCAGATTTGTAAAAGTGATGTGCACACAACACTCCGGTTTTGAAGCAGGACTGCAGTTCAGAAGTGGACAAACAACCAGAACTTTTCACAGTATCTAACTTCATGTATTAAATTGCAGACCCAAACATCTGCGCAGGTACGAAAACGGCCAATAGCCTTAACTATGTGTCGCGACTAACTATGCCAGTGTGTTGGGAAACTAGCAGGAAGCTAGACTTGCCGGTTCTGCACCACTTGGTGGTGAATTAACGTATGACAAGTTAGAAGTTGTCAGGGCCTTTTGGGAGCGAGTGAACAGTGCAGAGGCACAAATAGATTATTATCGTCTGAGCAGCATGGCGCCGCAAGGAGTTCCCAGGGGATCTGGTTGACGCTCAGCACTCAAGGAAGAGGCAAGATGAGGTCTACAGCTGTCTTCTGAAAGCTGTTGTTATTGCCCATTCGTAGGTCAGCTCATGACTGGCACATAGATAGAGCAATACACAGCTAGCCCCGAGCACTGGTCCAAGTGACAAATGGACGCTAGGCAGTCACTGTTTTGAGTCATGGCAAATTTATTGCTTCTGCCAGCATGGCCGTTGTTTTTTGCTCCATTTGTGGACTGAAAGGACAGTATCATTGCCCAGCTTCTGAGGTGAGGGCATGGCATGACACTGTGAGCTGCAGATTTCATTTGGAATGTTTTTCAACAGTGACCAACGTGGTGGTGTGAAATGTAGATTTTGCCATTATGTGATTAAAAGGGATCACGTGTGCAACTGCTGATCTGTTGTTGACTTCTGCTACCATCGATATTGAACTGCATTTCTAATGTCGGACTGTTTGTGTTAGCACTTTGGATGGCTACTGTATGCTTTTAATGCGTCTGTATGCTAGTGTGCTGAGAAAGCAGTCTGTCAATCTTTTTACAGGGGACTGTGATAAAGATTCTGTGTGTTTTTCGTCATGGAATGACTCGTTTGCTATGAAGCTGAAACTAAGATTACAAAGACAAGGGACAAAGTTCACAACAAGGCAATTCATCATGATCATTAAACCCAGGCCTAACAAACTCGAGTGGATCAATCACAGTTACAAGGGTTTAGATATACAAGGTCTGACAATTAAGTAATGAGACTGATTTTATTATGGCTTAGACAAAAGTGGCATCTATGATTCACATCATGGAATCCAAAGAGGCAACCTTTGTCTATGATCTGACAACTTTTCATCGCCGTCCGATAAGCAGACAACAAACAAGCCGCCATTTTGTTAACCTAGTCAAAAGTGCATTGTTACGTAATCAGCATGGAGCAAAAAAGCTGACATTAAATTCTGTTTAAAACTCAGAAAAAGCTCCATTGCAACAGTTGAATTGATGCGACAAGTTTACGAGGATAATTGTTTATCTCGTGCACAGATTTTCAGCTGGTATTCACAATTCAGAAGTGATATGGAAATGATTACTAATGCAACTAGACCTGGATGCCCAATTTCTGTTCACAATGAGGAACTCATTGCAAAATTCTAAGAACAGATAAAAGAAAATCATTCGACACTGAGGATGATGATAGATGAATTTGGTGTAAATACAGAGACTATTTGTAAAATTGTAGTGAAAGATTTGGGCAAGAAAAAAGTTGCTTGCCGGTTTGTATTCAAAACCTTACAATTTGTTTCTTCTCCATGACAATACACTGGGTGAAAGGGCATAAGTTGAACAGGAATTTTTGGCCCAAAAACTAGTGCGTGTTCTCAACCATCCACCCTACTCCCTAGATTTGTCTCCCTGTGATTATTTTCTATTCTCAAAATTAAAGTTACCATTGAAATGATGCTTATTTGACGATACTGATAACATCCAAAGGGTCGTATCATTGACTTTAAGGGCCATAACAACAGAAAAATTACAAAGGTCGTTCCAGTGTTTGTTAGATCGTGCCACTTGTTGTATTAATGCATAATGGCTCACTGTGAATAAAATATAGTTTATATCTTCAATTGTTGATTTTTAAAGTTTTAATGATACTATTCTCATTACTATATTGTCGGACCGTGTAGATGCAGAAGTGGATAAAATCAGCCCCCACAGCAAGTATGTGAGACCACACACCAGGCCTTCACAGTGTAGTGGGAAGGCATCTGACAGTACCTGACTGACAGAGGACTGGAATAGAATAAAGCCACAAAAATGAAAACTGCTGATACAGAAGTCTGGTGATCTCTTTGGCAAACCTCTACACCCCAAGTGTAGAAAAGGAACGATTAAGGAAGTAAATGGGAACCAGACAAAGCATGAACTCCACACCGCCAGCATTGGTCCTCGGAGATCATAAAAATTTCACTTGTTAAAACGAACAACATAGGCCAAAAAAGACTATGACATGTTGAGTGTTAGGCAAACAGACAACCTACATAGACCCCTTAAGAAAAAGACCAGAGCCCACAATAATCTAGCCAAAACCTCTGGTTAATATCCACTAATCATAAAAGAAAATGTTATAACAACTCAAATTAGTCATACATAAAAATGCAATCACTAAGATATTGAAAAACTGAGCGAGTTGTTGTCATGTGTTTGTGACATCGTGATGTCAGATAGGGAAGAAATAAGTGATCTATCGGCATCATCTACCACTTTGCTGTCTTGAACTTCACGGGTTGCTGGGTAATAGACTTTAAAACTGAAATCTGTGCGAAGAAATGAGCCCTGTGGAATAACACAATTTTGTACATTACATTCGATTTTACAGTAATACTGCTAAAAGCAGTTAAGAAATCATGACTGAAATGTTAAACAAGACAACTACTCTCTTTATGTTTTAATATTTCGCCTGTAACTTGGAAATGGCTAATGACAGTAGAACATTATATACAACAATCAGAAAGGAGACAAAGTTCTTTGGTCATGTGATGAGAAAAGGAGCACCGAAAAAAATGTGATGACTCGAAAGATCACTGGTAGAAGAGGTAGAGGCAGACCAAGAGAAACGATGCTGGGTGGCTTAAGATAGTGGCATGGAGGAATATCATCAGTGGAATTGATCCAGAAAACCAAAGACCGAGATCAGTGGAGATGCATGAAAGACTACGCCAGCTGGCCAGACACGTGATGATGAAGATGACCTTAACTTCTTATCCGTACCAACATCCTAGCACATGGGTCCGACCCATTTGTCCTTCATCCTCCAATGCAGCAACCATCTCAGTGGCTTTACGCTCAATGTACATCTTTTATTTTCCTGTTTCTGCATTCTTGTCCTTGTTTAATACCCAAGACCAATAGGTAGTTCACTGTCACTGATTCCTTTTTTGAAACACACAACATTCAGTATGTCTGCTCTTTCAATAATTCTTTCTCCAAACCACTGCAGACACTGCCAGTCTGTCTGCTCTTTCTTCTTCTTCTTCATGTTCACCAACTGTAAACTCTGGCGGAAAGTTCTGGTTGTTCATCCACTTTAGGACTGCAGTCCTGTTCCAGAACCTGAGTTTTGTGTGTGCGTTTGTTTTACAGATCTGACTCATTTGTATGCAGACTGCTGGTTCCTTGCCTCTCAGGCAATTGCACTCCGAATTTGAAGGAATCTCCCAATTAGTCGACTCTTACGACAAGCTTTTGGGTAGGCAGTGGGTCTATTCTTTTTTTCCCCCTATAATAGGACCCCAGAACCCACACAGGGAATCTGCTCTTTCATTTCCTTCCACCCCGGTGTGTGCTGCCAGTTTCTTGATGTTAACTTTTGGATGCTGTCAACCCATTCTAGTCAGAGTTTGCCAGACTGGATCATCTCTAGCATGCTCGCTGAGCCTGTCACTATCAATGCTCTGCCAGCCATGCAAGTGCCTCTGCAACAGCCGCTATCTCCATCTGAATATTCTAGACCTACTACGCTTCCTCAAAGGAGCCACAATAAGGCAGTGGCTAGCCTACTTGCCTACCAGACCAGTGGTTGTGTATGTGAATCCCACAGGGCAGATTTTTTTTTTAAACCTGATCTGGGTGCCCAGGTTAATAAGGCTTACAATGGGTACCAGAAAATATTCTCAAAAGTGAAGACAAGCTGCATAATTTCATCAAATCCATCAAGTTTTGATCAAATTCAAAATGGACTAGCACCATATATCTAATATACTTTAGGGCAATAAAAATGATCCGTTACGACTCATATATTCTGCCCTTTATCTTACAGTAGAGCACAGGCCTGTCAACCAATTCTCCAAGTCATTCGTAAATTTCTTCACAACTGACAGAATTCTGCAGATGAGGTTATTGCTATGTTTTTAAACAGGATAAGGTATTAACTCTGTCGCCAAGAGTAACAGCAAAACTGACACTTCTGGACCAGTGCCATTCCTCATAAATGTAACATTTCTTTCTTGTTTATAGTGACCTGTTTACAAGATGCATAGTTAACACAACTGAGTTCACGTCTGCAAAAACCTTTAAAAAAGTCATATTATTTTTTAGCTAAAAATAGCATTTTTGGTTTTTGCTGTGAATCAAATAGCTTTTATGTCGAGGTCTAATATTTCCGTAATTCCGTATTAGAGATCACAGCTTGAATAATTCGACAGAAATAGTTTCTTTAGCCCCAGAGAAATCTGCTCCATTTAATGCTTCACTCTGCGCTTATTGATCGCCTCTGTTAATATATTTTCATTCATTTCAAGAAAGAAAAAAAAAAAAAAACTTTTTTTTTAAAGTTATTATATCAGGTGATCTGCAACAACCTGAAACTATTCTTCTAGGTTACAGCTTTGTAAGGTGACTACCCTGCTTTTTCTGCCACTGTTTTGTCCCTAAGCCTAAAGTTAGATGACTGTTTTGCTGAGAGAGACCGAGTCATATGGGATAAAACCCAGTGCAATAAAGTTGATCCTCTGACCTTTAACCCCTAAGGAACATTCAAATTACAATTTTTCTCTTCTTTTTCATGTTCACCGACTGAAAACTCTGGCGGAAAGTCCCAGTTGTTCGTCCACTTCCCAACTTTTGTCTTGTTTCTTGGACTTGAGTGTGCATGCAATTCTGTTTTACAGATCATGTTTAACTGTGTGCAGACTGTTGATTCCTCATCTCTCAAGCAGATACAACACACATTCAAAGGAAATATCGTTCCTATAAGTTGTCCTCTGGTCAGGAATGTTTCTAGGATTACAGAAACGAGATGTTGAGGTCTTTACTAGTATGAGCCCAGCTTCTGGTGCGAGGTACACCACCCCGTGCGGCTCGGAAACTCTGCATCATCAAGTTTCAGTTGATTCACAAGTTTAAAACATTTCAAATAAATTAAAACTCACTGGGTTGACTATGGTAGCAGAAACAGCTGTGGTTGTAAAAGGGTCAAATTTGTCGGCAGTTATAATCACATCAGGCAACGGGTAGAGCCTCAGCCCGTTATCATATGCCCAGTAGATTGGACTCACATGCAGAGGTAAGGGACATAAATGAGCCTGACTGATCAGTGACTTGGCGAACTGATAAGAAAAACAATGTAAGAAAACAATTTTTACTTTCCTTAATTTACATGCAGAAATGTGTAACATACATGCAAATCTTCTTCTTCTTCTTCGGGTTCACCAGCTGTAAACTCCAGTGGAAAGTTCTGGTTGGTCATCTTGTTCCAGAACCTTAGTGTTGCGTGCACATCTGTTTTACAGATCTGACATCTGTATGCAGAATGTTGGTTCCTCCATTCTCAGACGGATGCACACCAACTACGAAGCAATACCCCAATTAGTTTACTCTAATGACATGCTTGCTGGGGTCTATTCTTGTTTTCCCTATAATGGAGCTCTGGTACCCACAGAGGAAAGTATGTAAATAAGGATCCTTTCTTAGCCAGTGGCAAGTCAGGCAGATAACAATTAAAAAGTTAGCTGTGTATCATTTATAGATGTTGCAGAAACAACCCAGCATTTTTTGGCTGTTTATGATTTCAGTAGAAAATATTAGTTCAGTAGTTTACCACTGCTTTCTGATCGGTTAGTTCTCGATACCAATGTATACCAGACGGTCTGCTGCTAAATCACCCCCATCCCTTAGCTGGAACTAAGCCCTGCATCACAGATTTACAAAGCACTTTCACAGCACCAAACCACAGACACCAACAGGCGGCACTAGACTCATAATAATTGAAAAACCAACTTAATGAATGATATGGTCAATGTCACAACAGCCGCCTTTACTTCCCATGACATTTCTTGGTACCCATTAGGACTGGATCGACTGGGAGCCATGGTCAATTTAAATTTTAAAAATTGACTCTATGCAGATTCAAATACTGAACTTTTGGTTACACGCATGACCGGCAATTCACTGATGAAAATCCAGACATTGCTAGTTTCATCATCATGTAGCAGGTCCTTTGCAGAAACTCACACTAATCATGGTCCGGCTGCCTGAAAGAAACTTTGTCTGTCACTAGCTCTCCTACCTCATGCACTTACCTACACAAAGTGTCCCTTATATCCTGCACTCATCTTTGTACTGATTGGCCCAAGCCACTCTTTCCTGGTTAGGCCTTTTGCTGTTATTTTTTTTCAATCCACTGTGTCGCTCGGTATGGCCAACATATTTGAGTATCCGAAACAGGCCTGTTTACTAGCCAAACTTTCTTGGTGTCTAGATATTTTAGGATGTCATTGCTTTTCTTCTTGGTTCATGCTATTCTGAGATTTTTTTAAATAGTATTTCAGCATTGCTAGTTTATGTTTCAATAATTATCTGTTCTTTACAGGATAATCCCAATATATCTTTTCTCACATGAGGATCTCTTATAAGGTTGTCCTACACCAACTCCAGCCCTCACCTCCTCTTTGTTTCAACAGGCTATTTTTTCTTCTGTATTCATCGTAAATGGGTTGTTCATGTGTTGAGCTACTGAGTTTAGTTATTGGTTGCAGCCCTGTCAGCTGTGTTTTTTCTATGGAATGCCTTTCATCTGCGCAGCTGTTGTGTCGTTTAGCTCAAAATGGCCAGTTTAGGCGTGAGCTGGTGAAATACCTTATGTAAAAATTATACGTGTGTATAGCAACCAACTTATAGTGCCCGACTTCTTCCATCAATAACAAACTGCATTTCTGCTGGTGATTGATGGCTTTGCCGCCTCGAGCAACTGAAATAAAATGTTACTGCGTGCAAATATTTCTGGATTGTTCCGGAACTAGCTTTTTCACCAGTTTTTTTTTTAATCTGCAACAGTGAGGGACATTTAATTTGATTTGCACTGGCAGAGGAACAGAGCAAATATGGGGAAACCCAATTGCTGTGATGTTGAAAACTTAACTAAGTAATGGTTTAGTTAGGCTGCGATATGTGAGCCTTTCCACCCAATACATTTCATTTTAGCAAACTCCTAATTAGTGGCCTTTTACGACCTGCTTGTTGAGGGCAGGGGGTCTATTCTATTTTAACCCTAAATGAGCTCCCAGAAGCCAGATGGGGAAGATGTCCCTATCAACCTCCAAGGCAGCTATACTTAAGCTATCTGCGAAACCACACTTTGGGTAGATTTTCAACTCCAAATTTTGCTGGGGCAGCGCCGTTAGGCTACTCTTTTTCTATTTCCAACTGCCAAGGGAGTTTCTTTTACAAGCGCAACAATACACCAATACAAACTGGCGACCAATCTTACTAGCCAGAGACCAGAGGAAATTACTAAAAGTCCATGTGAAAAAATCCAAGCCTTCACCAGGGCTTGAACCCTGGACCTCCAGCACTCGAGGCGGACACCATACCTCGAGACCACTCAGCCACCCATGTGTGTTGCTGACGCCCATGAGAAAAGCAAAGAACAGTGAAACTATAACCCACCATTCATGATGTAAGAAGTCACTAAGGAGGGTTGCAGCGAGACTAAATACCATGCACACCAGTAGTTTTCAAGTGAGTTGGAAGGGGAGGGGGGCAGATAGTCTTGCCATATATTCAAGGAGATACCACCTGAAAAAGATTTAAAACCACTGCTGTAGACAAAGGTAAGAACGGCAATAATGATGCTTACGTGGGTTGGAACATTCCCATCAGCAGGAAATTTCACACAGTTCCTGCACATTTTCGTCACAATGTCCTCTCTAAACACAACAATTTCTTGTGTGCAGTACTGGATCCGGCAGGGATTTGATGTAAATACAGCTCCAGGAACTTTCTTTCGGAAAGCCTCTGTTATGGAATTTGGAATGGTTGGTCTGAAAAGATTTATATTATGTTTTGTAAAAAAAAAAAAAAAAAAATACTATGTCACTTTCAAAAAAAAAAAAATACTATGTCACTTTCTAAAGGTAACTTAGTTAAATAAAATTTTTTTTATAATCCAGATAATGAAAGCTACAGTAATAACCATTAGATTACAAATTATGAAGCTGTCACATATCCTGCAAAAGACCTGGCTTATTTGTTTTCAGCTGCTGGCTCCTGCCTCTCAGTTGGTAGTCATGTACATCCACAGTCGTCTATTGTCTCCTGTACTTGAATCAATTCTGACATAGATGACCTTCCATGCCATGATGTCCAACATCTTTTCTCTCGGGCTCCGTCTGCCTCTTTTTCCCTCCAACTGTCATGATGTACTCCAGTTTTCTCCTTCTCATGACATGACCAAAGTCTGTAGATTATCTCCTTCTGATGTGGGCAGTCAGTTCTATTTGTGCATCAGTTTCTTAAAGGCATCATTATTCTTTGTATCTGTCCAGGGTATTCTCATAATTCCTCTATAAAACCACTTCTCCATTGCTTCCAAAAAATGTTTTCACTAATGTCTAACTGTCCATGAATCATTTCCATGTCACAGGATAGGATTTACATAGCTCTTGAGAATTCTCTTTCTTGTCTTGATTGACCAAAAAAAAATATCCTTTATTTTGAAAAATGCTGCCTTTGCTGAGCTATTATACATTTAACTTATTTATTACATCTTCCATCTGATATTATCAGGATAACCGAGTATTTAAACCTATTAACTTGCTTGAGGACTGCCCCGTTACCTTTGATATTGCATTCTGGAGACCTTTGATGTTGCATTCTGGAGTCTATTTTCTTTGTAATTACAATTACTTCTGCTTTTCAAACTAAGTAAAGGACTTTCTTCCATACTGAAGTAATGTGTATTTAGTGTTAGACCTATATTTTTAGACCAATCCGCACTTGGTGGGCAATATGGTCAGCATCGCACCAGCCGCCTTTACTTCTCAGAACTTTACCTAGTTAGCATTTAAGGCTGGGTTGACCTGGCAGCCAATGTCATTTCTGAAGAAAAAAAAAAGTCCAGTTATTTTATTTTATTTCATTTATTCCACATCACATTTTTTTTAAAGTAGCTCACGTCACCCCTTAGAGATCTACATACTCTCCATTCCTCGTTTGTGTATTTCACTTATGTTTGAAAAAGGCTGCCCGGCCGAAACGTTACGTTGTGTTGTTTTGTGCACGTTTTCCTCTTTCCCATTTAGTTGAGCTTTTTAGTCAAATTTCTCTGGAACTCAATAGGTGATTTGGTTAAATTCAAACAGACTGTTTTTACTTCCCAGAGATTACCTGGTACCCATTTTAGGCCAGGTCGACCTGGAGCCAAGTTTTCTTTTCTTTTTCCTTCAAATCTTCCTGGTGCAGATTTGAACCCTAAAGACTTCAGACCAACTGGTCTTACAATGAGATACATCACAATACCTTGGCAAAACGGAATAACCTGTAACTTTAGTTAGCAAACAAAGAAGGCACAATTTCACAATACCTCGGTAAGATAGTAGAATGACCCGGGTCATTCGGGCCAGGAACAAACACAAACTGACTTGTACTGATAATTTTTGGGTAGTTGGACAGCAATGCTCCCAAATCCCGAAAGCAATCTGGAATGGAATTTAATTTAATGCATCCGTGATTCAGCGACTACTGTAAATACTGCCAAAGCTAATTAAGTAATGGGGCAACTATCTACCCTGTTGACACACAAGCAGATACCCCGCAGCACAAATGTGAATCTCATCAGAACTATTTTTTTGGCCAACACTATGCTTTCAGTGCCAAACATGGACACCTACATCCTCCAATGAAAGTAAAATTGTGACAACATAGATGAAATGCCTTAGAAGAGCTGCATTAGTTTAAAGGAAAGACAGAATACAAAATCACGAAATCAGACGAATGCTAGGAATAAAGCCAGTCTTACAGGTCATCAAAGAACAACAAATGAAGTGGTTTGGACACCAAACAAGAATTCCCTGGTACTGTCTGCCACAGCGAGCCACACTAAAACGTTACAACGAGTGTAGAGCGAGAGGAAGACCTCGAAAAACATGGAGTGATGGCATTAGGACCAGCCTTACAAAAATGAACAACAGTCTTAATAGTGCTCTTGACAGAGCTCATCTGCTAATGTTACATTCCCCCCCCCCCCCCCCCCCCATTTCGATGAGGTACAAGGTGGAAGAGAAGAAGAAGAAGTAAATACTGATTTGCAAAATGTTTGATGTAGTGAAACATAGCTTTTTCTGATTGTGTATATTAAGTTTCAGAATTCTTCTGCATCTGCCTTTTGTCTATCAAAAGAACACAGACCCTCCACAAAGAAGACACAAACAGCAGATCGCACAATATATTTCCTGGTATATTTAGCTGTATCTCATCAGGCAATTGATTCAAATGAAGCAAATAAATGAATTCTCTGAAACACACAATCGACTACATTCAAAAACTGTCTGTTTCACCAGGTTAACACAAGGTCAAGAGCAAGTTCTTTCTATTGGATTAATAGGAGTTCAATTTATAAACTGTGCAATCTATTGTTTGTCTTCTTTGTTCAAATTCACGACGGGAAAACTTTGCTTTGAATTTCTTAAACCTGTACCAATTCATGCTAACCCCCTTTATAGCAGCATAACACAACACAAACTATGCCTCAACACAACTTTTCTACTAGTCTTTAACAATAGACAAAACATGAATTCTTTGGCCCAGGGAATGTGTTATTTTTTACTTTGCCATCTATTACAAGTGGCATTTCTGGCTTTATTTCATTAAATCGTCAGGTATCAGCCTGGAGGGGAGGGGCGGGGGACTAAACAGAAAAACGGGCAGCCCCTCCCTGCCCCCCTCCCCCCCTATATCACTAAATGGAGCTGGGGCATCAAAACAAAGGACCTGTTTTATTGTTTAATGTAAACTCAACTTTGAAGGAAAGACCCCTAATTAGTACTTTTTACCTCACGCTTGTTAGGCCTCTTCTGACCTGGCAGCTTCTACAGCCTGCTTTGTTCCCAAACTTACTGGTGTTACCTTTCCTTTGGAGTGAATAAAGCAGGTCGAGTGAATGATCATTATAAATGGGCAACATGTGGTCTCTACAATACTGCCCAGGCTTTTTGCTATAGAAAGGATGAAGCAATGGGCTGTGAGTCTCATGCCTCCTCATACCACAATATAATGCTATCATCTATAAAGATGCCAAGCAAAAGTAAACTGAGAGCCCACCTACACTGAGTGGGTCTTGCTTACTCTGCCATATGTGGTTGTAGATCCCTAAAAACCCAAAGCAAGTCTTACAGGATTGCCCAGACTGTCAGTCATAGAGAAGAAATCTGGCCCTATGGAGCGTCCCTACCAGATAAACTATGGAGCACCAGCCAAGACCCCAAGCCTACCCTCCTGTTTATGCTAAAGTCTGGAAAAGATACATAGTAAACACTGATTGCTGAAGAAGAAAAAAACTGCTGTTTACCTATCTTTTTTGTATTACTAAGCTAAGATATGTTGGCGTCTGTGGTTTAGGAATTGCCAATGTGCTTTGTAATGTCAGGTTCGATCCCAGCTGCGGAAGATTTGTCTTGCGTTGCTTTCAATAGTGGTACCGAGAGCTGACCGTTCAGAGGCAACGGCAAACTACATAAAATCTGCCTAGAAAAACCTCAACAGTAAAGAAATGCTGGGAATGGTTCTGCAACATCTTGAAAAGGATACACAACTAGCTTTATGCTAAGATATGCATACCAGGTGACTCCTGTGAGTCCAATAACACTGCTGAACCAGGGCTGACAAATGTACTAACCTTTCAATGTTTTGGCATGACTCATCACTTTTGGTGATGACAGAAAGTTTCCACACATGATGAACGCTGTTGGAGGATAGTCAGAGTAGCCCTTAAACAACACATTCAGTTTCTCCATAACCTGTGGATGTTGTTATGCCACATCAGATAAATATAACACTAACAATTCAATAGTTCACTAACCACAATGTTCTTCTTTCTTTTTCTTCCCTTTCACCGGCTGTAAACTCCAGCAGAAAGTTCTGGTTGTTCATCCACTTCTGGACTTTAGTCTTATTCCAGAACTTGATTTTTGTGTGCACATCTGTGTTATAGATATGGCTTATTTGCTTGCAAACTGTTGGTTCCTTGCCTCTCTGGCAGAGTCACTCCGACTTTGGAGGAAACACCCCCAATTAGTCGACTTTATAACAAGCTTTTTTTGGGAGGGGGGTCTATTTTTTTTTCTCCTTAAAAGGGACCACTAGTGCTATTTTTAGTTTATATATTCATATCTGAACCTCCTCTATAAACAACTAAAGACTACGCAGGTGGTGATAGACTCAAACGCATTTTACACTTTTCAAAAACAGGTTACTGCAGAAATGCGGATACATTCACATTCACGGGAATGTGTCACAACTGGAAGTAACTAGATCTCGTCTTCTCGGAGTAACAGGGCTAAATAATGAGTAGGAAATATAAGTTGGAAGTTTAAAACAATCCCCCAAAAAAAACCATGTGCACACATACACACACAAAAATGTTAAGATAGCCGTGAATCCCTTGTTATGTGATTAATGAGAAATTATTCCATAGTCTCAGAAATGGGGTTTTGTAGAAAAATGAGAAGACTATAATAAACAAATAATAAAGATGTGTCTGAAAAAATTCATAAAAAGAAAAGATTACCCACATCAGAAGAGAACAATCTACAGACCCTCATTCTTTGAGAATCACATAAGAAAGGAGAAACTGAAATATGTCTTATTAACCCACCGACTACCACAATCACACATTATGCAGCCTATCGAGTGACATTTAACTTTGGAGGCTTGCCACCGTGTTAAAATTGCAAGTTAGTTGGGTTATCATCATTGCACTCGGGACATGTCCATAGGTGCTCAGATCCTCCCCTCAGTATGAACCCCAACGTCCGATGGCTAATAGTACCAGTTCTATGTTGATTAACAAGTCGTCTGGTGTGCATCTCGTTTTTTGCTATGCCGATCTTAATTCCCAAGTGTGCCATTCTGGCAAGTGATGTTAAAATTGCAATAAATGTTGTTGAAGCTGCTAGTCTATTCATTTCTCTTTCTTTCTTTAAGGGAAACAATTCCCTAGCACTTTAAATTTTCAAAATTATTTTCCCATGTCGATTACATATTAAGTGCATTTTTTTTATAATCGATAAGGCTAGCATGGTGCAACAGTGTGGAGAATGTTTATGATGCAGTGGGATATTGTCTTGATTGTTTTAAATCGGAAAGTGAAGGTGAAGATATGCCATCAAAAGCATTGTCGTTGTTGTTGTTATTGATCCAGCGGCGCATGAGCTTTCGCCCTCTGGCCCAATGCCATGTAGTGGAATCTGCATGTTTTCACAAGTTGTTCTTTTCCTCCGCACAAGGTGTTCCACTTGTCTGGTCTCGGAGGGAGTAGCATACTTCCAGTCTCACTGAGTTTTGGGCACTCAAAGAGATGGTGTTCAACAGTTTTGTAGGGGTAGTTACATAGCTGGCACTCTGGGGAGTGTTCTGGCTGTATTCTGTTTAGGTGTCCACTGAGTGGAGCATGTTGTGTTCTAAGTCTGAAGATGGTGGCCTGGTTTTTGTAGGGGTAGTTACATAGCTGGCACTCTGGGGAGTGTTCTGGCTGTATTCTGTTTAGGTGTCCACTGAGTGGAGCATGTTGTGTTCTAAGTCTGAAGATGGTGGCCTGGTCCCTTCTTGTTAGATGGTTAATGCTGTCATTAGGATCAGGACCAGCCATGTGTCTATAAACCTCTCTTCCAGTGTCTCCCAAAGCATAGTCAAAATTGGACAATGATGTTAACGCTTACAGCAGTGGTGTGGCAGCTGGAGGTAGGTGTGTTATGTTACATTAGTTTGTGTAAACTATTTCATGTATGTGCTTCAGGTGTGTATTGTTAGATACTCTTGTGATGCAGGTTTAGAGAAAAGATCATTTTGTGGTTTTTTTTTCTTTTTTCTTTTTTTACAATTCAGTCAAACTGTAACAGAAGTTCTTGGTGCAAACTGGCAAACAGCCACTGAATCTGCAGAATTGTATTTCACAGACACATGAAAATTTACACTAATTGGCATAGGATGAAAATTTGGGAATTTTCTAAAAAGGAAACTGATTACCCCACCTCTTCATGCCATAACCTAGAATATGTAAAGGCCTACAATGTCCTACCACTGTGGCAATAAATGCTAAGGAAGTACTTTACACTTGTGAAATTTTAAAGAAAATTACCCTACTGTTGTCCAACCATACGTCAGATAGGAGAACAAACATGGTATCAGTGTTCTCTGTCAATATCTGAGCCAAACGAGCAGATGCTTTCACCTGAACTGTAGATGGGCCACCAAAGAAGTTGATGTTACCAAAGTATGCCCTGGAGACAAAAATTAACAACAAAGAATAAGGCAAAAAGGAGAAGCAGAGATTGGCAGGAAGAAACAAACGTAATTAAAATCAGCAAACATTATGGAAGGATTTTATGTAAATTTTATTACAGAAGCAGTATTCTAAAGCTTTAGTGTTGTAGTGTTAGCGTCAGTGTCATGTTAAGTTGCAAGCGTGTTTTGTGTTTCCATGTTATCCTGTTATTTTTCCAGCAATTTGGCAGCAGATGCATCTGCATTTATTTTGACACTGGTATCTTCTTCTTCTTCTTCTTCGCGTTCACCAGCTGTACACTCTGGCGGAAAGTTCTGGTTGTTCGTCCACACCTGGACTGCAGTCCTGCTCCAGAACCTGGGTGTTGCATGTGCATCAGTTTTACAGATCTGATTCACTTGAATGCAGACTGTTGGTTCCTTGCCTCTCAGGCAGATGCACTCCGACTTCAAAGGAAACTACCAATTAGTCGACTCTTACGACATGCTTTTTGGTAGGCAGTGGGTCTATTCTTGTTTTCCCCCCACAATGGGGCCCCGGATCCCACACAGGGAACACTGGTATCAAAAGCCGATCATTCAGAAACAATGGCAAACTACTCAAAGTAAAAAAGCTTAGTCAAAGCAAAACATGAATCAACAAATGCTGGAATTTGTTCTGCAACATGATTTAAAGCAGGGCTATTTAGCTGTTTTCCCAAGGGCCAAAATGTTGCCAATATGTTAAAACTGGGGCAGAAACATCACTTAAAAAAAGTACAACTGGCAATGATCCGCAGACCATTTGCTAGGCCTCTGTGGACTAGGTTCAGCCCATGGGCCACCGGTTGAATAGCCTAGCTGTAAAGGATACACAAACTTCTTCTTCTTCCTTCGTTCGTTCGCTTTAAACAGATTATCTATCTGCAATGGTGTCTCTAGAATGTATTTCACTTTCTGTTGTAATTCAATCAGCAACCCGTAAAGTTTGGCTTGCACCGGTGTTTCTCTTAGCCAGAACTTCTGCCTTGATATGAGCTTTTGGGACAGTCTTGGATGACGTGATATGTTGTCTCAGGTACCACTCGACGTGTGCACATGGCTGATTGGCCAATTAAAAATTTTGTGTACATGTGGCTGCGAAGTCAATTGTTCTAATGCGTAGAAAAAAGACTTGCTCTGGTCTGTCCCTAATATGGCAATCATCTTATGCCAGTTTTGGTGGCTTGTTGATTTATCTGATTTTTCTCCTCTTCTGTTTATAAGAGACTGGTACGTCAGGTTGCTCTTCATTTGCACCTTCCTTAGCTAGTTTTTCAGCTCTCTCATTTCCTAGGAACTCCATAAGCAAACTAACTTTTGAAAAGTGGTTAGCGAACTCACAGATCAAAGTAATTGTTACTTTTGAATGAACGTTTTCTGCCAGTTTGACCATGGAGTGGTTGAAGCAGTCTCATTACACGAGTAGCAGAGATTTCTCTTGTAAACTTAAGGCGACTATACTTTACTTGTATGTGCACTATTTTCATTTATTATAAAGAAAGTAGTACTCTGAGTGGGAGAACTGGGTTTGACTCCTCTGTAAGGTTTGGGATTTTTCTGCTGGGGGCAAAAATAAAACAATATCCTGCACAGTCCATGGTGACAGCACTGGCCATGTGGCCTTAAATCCTCAGCTCAAAGACCACCCTGCCTACACCCCAAAAATGGCAAATACAGGTGGTAATGGCAGTATTCTGAGTGCAAACAAATGATCACTAATTTTTATTTTATTATTTAAGACCAGCAGACAGTTTGTGATCTTGGGTAGAAACTTTTACCTATCCAGGACAACAGGATGCACCAGCAGAGTACTCAGCCTAGTCATTATAGGTGACTGAATTATACAATTTTTAGGAGGCTGAACTGGTACCTGGAAATTATCCTATTGGACTAAGATCTAAGACGCTGGAATGCCGTTCAAGTCACTAGAGTGTCAAACCTGCAGGAGAAACAGTCATTCTGTGATATGGCTCACAGCCTTGCTTGAGAATACCATTTGCCTCTGTCCATGGCTACGTTGCTTAAAAAAAGGAATATAATTATCTTATTTTCTTCTTTGTGATTGGTTTCAAATGCTCAAGTTATACAGCTGTGTTGTCTCCATGAACCAGCAAGTCTCCAATGATTCCATGAAGTTTGTCCTGGATGCCTTTTCTTACAGGCTTTGCTGTCAGGCCAGTCTTGGAGCAACTATATAATGCTAGTCAGCCCTCAAGAGAAGGCAGGGAACAAACATCCAAGGAGGTTTTCATAAATGCAGAGCCAGTACATGGTGCAGTGGTAATGAAATAGTTAATCTAATTAGGAACAGAATTTCTAACCTTGTAGTCTCAGCCTTCTCTGGTGGAGGTAAGCCAAAAGCCTCAATATGAAATATTCCATCCTCATACCAACCTTCTGCTAGAACAAAAGAGTTCTCTGTAAACAGTCCTGGCTGAAAATTGTGACACAGATTAAGGAATTCAAACAAAGAAATTAAACTAAATTCTTCTTG